CAGAGTAGCTGACGCCAGCGGCGTCGATGCTTGGAGGCCATCTCCAACCAGTTGTTGGTGTCTTGGAGGTCCACCCGTGGCGGTTGGAGGAGTCCTCGGTGACCGTGGGTGCTTGCGGCGGTGTGGGTGGCTTGCCGGAGCGGGTGTGGCGGCGCGGCGATGGACTTATGCTCGGGCGAGGCGTTTGGGCATGCGGGGGTGAGTAGTGTGCGGTCGTGGTGTGTGTGCGAGTGTGCAGGGGCAGTGGCTTTTCTTGGTGGTGCAGCGCTACAGCAGATAGTGGTGGTGGCGGCGCGGCGGCCGATGGCTCGCGGTGGTATGGGAGGAGCTACCCAGCGGTGGAGGTAGAGGAGAAGCCTAGGAGCAAGCCAGCCACTTCTATTAAGCTATGCCACCCTAGAGAGGGAGAGCTCGGAGCTTGCACCCATGGCGCCCGTGGCGAACCGAATTAGGGGGAAACGAGCTAGGGCTCGAGAGGGGGAAGGAGGAGGGAAAGGAAGAGGGAGATAGTGTGTTCTAGACCTAGGTGGAGCTTGTAGGGGTGAAGGTTGAAGCGGAGGGGCACGAGGAGAGGCCTATTTCTAGGTGGCGGAAGGTCGGGTCGCCGGCAAGATATTTTCTCGCTGTGCCCTCGTTTACATAGGCGCCAAGTCTCCTTTTCATGCACGAGTTCATACCAAGGCGGTCGTGCACATCGTGCTCTCATCTGTCTCCTGGCTGGCGGTGAGCCGACACAGAGCGCGGCCATGGCGTGTGGAGCGCGGCAGGTCAGTGGAAATGGCTATGCGGGCACAGGGCTCCGTTGATGACTGGGAAGAGAGGGAAATGACCACTGAGGTCCATGATGTCCCCGATCGCGTGCTCGGGCAGGTGTCAACGATGGAGGAAAGGCGGTTAGGTACAAGAGGTTAGCGGCGGCGGTGACATTGGTACAGCGCCCCATTGACTCGCTAGGGAAGGAGGTGACAGGTGGGGTCACAATGTTAGTGAGAGGGAAAAAGGGAAGGGGTGGTAAGCTGCCTTGCTGGGCCATGTCGAGCGAGCGGGCTAGCCCGTGGTGGGGAAGGAGGAGGAGGGAGGGAGTAGAGGGAGACGGGCCACGGCTCGAGCCAGAAGGAGGGGAGGGGAGAAATGAGCCCAAGAGTGCTTTTCCTTTTATGAATTCCCTTTTCTATTTTCCATAAATAAACTAGACACACTATACATGGTTTGAATCCAAATTCAAGGGGGTTTGAAATATGTGGAACTTGGTGAATTAAAGGGGAGGTCAAGGAGAAGTGTTTTTGGTGGAGGATGACAAGGAAAATTATTTAATGCCAAATAAATTCTAGGGCAAGCAATCAAGCAAACAATCAAGCAATCACGCATACACACAAGCATTCAAACAACACGCAGATGATGAATTTAATGCGAAGCAGTTTTCTAATCCTAGTAAATTATTTCTATTGCTACAACTAACTCCTACGAGGTGCAAAATGCATACAGTTTTTTGATGCAAGGGTTTTTAGGAAAATATATTTTATTTAAAATTGTTTTGCGGAGGAATAAATAGTCAAGGTTTTAATTTGTTGTAAAGTTTTAAAAAGTTCAAATTTTTAGTGCATTTTAACATGATGCAAAAACACGGGTGTTACACCTGGCACCTTTGTTGCCTAATTACGATCTATATAAGGTGCTTGTGAACTTAGATAGAGGGGTGTAGTCTTGGCTAGACCGATAGTTTTAATTCCGCATTATTTTAGTTAGCCGACGCGATTAATTTTAGAAAGGACTATTCACCCCCTCTAGTCCATCATCTCGACCCTACACCCCTTCAAAAGTGTACCGTGGATACTAGCATACGGCTCACGGCCGATCCAATTGATGAGGTACTAAAAATTCCTGCAAGCACTTCTTTGGAGATTCTAGGAAAATTTTCCGTACGGGTGATTGAATGTTTTGATCAAGAGTACCTGCGCCCTCCTACAAGCGACGAGCTAGAAAAAATTTACAAGAAAGTAAGGCTCATGATTTTCAGGAATGTTGGGAAGTATCGATTGTATACATTGGGCATGGAAGAATTGTCCAAAAGGTTAGGCAGGCATGTTCACGCGTGGTGACAAACGTGTTCCTACTATGATCCTTGAAGCAGTGGCATCTCATAATCTTCGTATATGGCATGCTTTTTTTGGTACCGCCGGGTCTCAGAATGACATCAATGTTCTAAACAAGTCATCACTATTCATCAATGTCCTAAAAGGGGAAGCTCCAAGGGTACAAAACACCGTAAATGGAACACGGTATGATATGGGCTACTATCTCACAGATAAAATATATCCAGAATGGACGGTCTTCGTGAAGACAATATCAACCCCTCAGATGGATGAATACAAATTGTTTGCATTGATGCAAGAAGGAGCGAGGAAGGATGTCGAATGCGCATTTGGTGTATTGCAATCCCGCTTTGATATTGTTCGTCAACCATCGAAGTTATGGAAGCAGGGGATGTTATCAACATAATGCAAGCTTGTGTTATCCTTCACAATATGATAGTGGAGGATGAAAAGGAATTGGTTAGAGTTTTCTTGGATTTGAATGAGAATGCAAGTGCGACGATAGTGCTCCCACCTAAAGTAATCCATGCTTTCCGGAGGTGCTTAGAAGGAATTCCGGAGGCTGTTCGGCTGGTATGAAGTTTTTTACTGTTCATGCTGGAAAACACTGTTTATGATGGAATGTTGTGAGAGAAAAACAATGTTCCGGCTGAAAAAAAAAACAAGCCAAATAAGCCGGCTTGTTGCTCAGCCGAACAGCCTCCCGCTATCCAAGCACGGCCAACACATAGACAACTTAGGAATGATCTTGTTGAGCACATATGGCAACGCTATGGAAACAAAGAAAATTAGACATAAATGTTTCAATCATATTTGATTTATGAGGAAGAAGATCGTATGTTATATTTGATTTATGAAATATATTATATTACATTATATATATAATATATGATCTATTCTGAAGGATTTGTTTTGCTTCAATTAACAATACAATGATATATAGAAATGATATCCATGATTGATTATGGCTATGTGCAAACATTAAACGATTTATAGACAGCCAAACAGTCTTTCTATATTGTGAATTCCAAAAACTTATTTCAAAAACTTACTGTCTGTGTTGTACATGCTCTAAAGCTTTAAAGCTTTGAGCAGAGAACATGTTGCTACTGTCCAATTATAAAACCACTGGGAAACCCATTGCAGTGGCATATTCCGGTTTGTGCTGGACGTTGGCACTTGGCAGCGGTGGTCTGGAAAACGCGGCGGCAGCGTCAGGCCGGATGGTGGCAGCCCAGGTATCCTCGTCGATGATGCGGCGGCACCGAACGGATAATGAGGAAGGGATATAAGGGTCATATTAGATGTCAATTATTAAAAAATAATAAATATAATATAATACTATAGAAAACAAGGTGTCAACCATAACTCTCTTCATCCCAAAATAATTGTAATTCTCGTTTTTCGAGAAGTCAAACTTTTTTAACTTTATAACCAAATATATAAGAAAATATTAGTATTTATAGTATCTAATTAGTATCCGTAGATAAATTGTTGAGTATAATTTTATAATAAACTTATTTAGAGATACAAATATTGGTAATATTTTCTATAAATTTAGTCAAACTTTAAAAAGTTTGAGCGGCACAAATACTATAACAACACTTATTTTGGGACGAAGAGAATAAGCGCAAAGAGCGATTTGTACCGTTCCTAATTGCTAGAAATAGATTTTGATAGAAAAATATCCGACAACAACTTCTTTAAGCCTTGTTTGGATGCGCATGTATTCGTCTCAATCCACATGTGTTGAAGTAAATTGGAATAGAATTAAACTAAATTTCATTTCATTCCAGTCCAACACATGTGGATGGAGTGGAATTAAACTAAATTCCATTTCAACACATGTGGATTGAGGTGGATACATATGCATCCAAATAAAACCTTAGGTGGTTATCCTAATATAGTCAACCTCTATTTCCGCCAAATTAGATAAGGAAAATGACTCTCTAGAGTATACATAAGATATAGAAAAATCGTTGGAGAGTGAAAACATATAAAAAATAATTGTTACGTAGATGACTCTTTAACAGGTGGTTTAGGGAGTGAATTTTAGAAAGAAAGAAAAAATGTTTAAGGCTGTTTGAATCCTTTTATTTTGGAGGAATTGTAATCTACTTAATTGATTAGGCTATTTTGCTTGGAATTTGATATTGCACAAGTTTTCTAAGGCTGTGTTTAGTTCGTGAAATTTGGGAATTTGGCTGGTGTAGCACTTTCGTTTTTATTTGGCAATTAATGTTCAATCATGGACTAATTAGGCTCAAAACGTTCGTCTCGCGATTTCCAACCAAACTGTGCAATTAGTTTTTTTCGTCTATATTTAATGCTTTATGCACGTATCGTAAAATTCGATGTGATGGCTACTGTAGTACTTTTTGGAACTAAACACAGCCTAAGTTCATATATAAGCCTATCTGTAGGCTGAAAGATAGAAATTGATTTTATTGATCGTTATGCTATGTTTCTACTCTTTAACTCATAGCATGTTTTTTAACTTTAACTCACCTCCCTAACGCAGAAATAAAGCGTATAACTATCTACTTGGTAAGACTAACAATAATATTCGTATCTACTTGGTACTGCTAATAATAATATATAAATATATTTTCTATATATAACTATATTAACTTAATTAATTTATGTCTAAATTATAATTATTAGAATGAACGCGGACGATCCCTAGCTGGGCAATCCCTTGAAAATGCAATCCGTTGAGATCAAATTGCTTTTTCGGTGGCAACTAAAAAAAAACTCTCAAATCAACTCACGCATATTCCCTTGCTTCTGCCAATTCAAGTATCCAAACGACTGTGCTCTAACGTTCGAAGTCCTACATAAATATACAGGAAGCTCAACGGTTGGAGTCTTAAATAAAAACACAATTATCTCCTTGCCCGCGAAGCCATGGCGGATCCGGCGATGCCCTCATCACCACCGGCGTCCGCTGGCGACGGCGATTCATCCACGCCTTCCGTATCCGTCCCTCGTGTGCTCCCCTCCACAGTGCTCCTGGACACCCTGCCTCCTTCCAGCGGTAGGGCGCGGGGCCCGCGCGGCGGCAGGGCGGCTGCGGCGTCGGGGAGCGGCGGGCGAGGCGGCGGCAGGGGAAGGAAGTCCGCTTTGCCGGCTGCGACTTCATACGGTGCAGATGGTAGGATGCCGGACCGGCTCGTCGAGGCGGTTAGGAAGGTGCCGGCAGACGTGGACGCGAGACTGGCATCCGCCGACATTCTGCAGCTGGCGTTGGCGAAGGGGCCGATGTTCGAGTGGCTGAGCTACTGGCCGGAGAAGGGGTTCCCCAAGGAAGATCACCCCTACTGACGCACGGTGCGTTTCCTCTGCTAGGTACGACAAAATCGTTGATGGCTTCGTGGGGGATTGCAAAGGCAGCAGCTTTTACTCTGCGTTGCTAGTTCAGTAGTAGCTATCATATCTACCTAATAATTGCTTCAATCCAGGCCTCCTGGGAGGTGTATGTGTCACTAAATTATAGTCCTCAGGGGCGGATCCAGAATGGGGCTGCGCCCCGGGCTAAGCTGCTGATTCACGTTAAAAACAGTCTGATCTGGCTTTCTAGGCCTCTTTTGTCTAATTAAGATCATAGTTTTTTAGCCTAAACACCACATATGTTAAAGGGACTACATGGACTCGCCCCGGGCTGCAGCCCGGGCAGCCCGGGCCCTGGATCCGCCCCTGATAGTCCTGATTAGTAGTGTTTGCACCTATGTATGGGAGGGAAAATGCGCAGCTACAACTACTCTCCAAGCCCAGCACTTGCAATTTGACTTGTTTGACGAACGGATCCTAAGTATTGTATGAACTTTGTAATGAAATGGGCAGAACTTGAGTCCTAATCTTTGCAATCTTCACACTTACAGAACTGCAGGATGCTAAACTGGCTAAATGAACAGTGCTCCTGTACTACATTTTGATTGATGTGGTTGAGCTAACCTTAAGAGCTTACTCAATTCATATTTCGATTGACTATTTAACCTTTTAGATGCTAATAATCCTGTTACCCCATTTGGTGTGGTTATGTTGTTGACAATAGATGCTTTCATGCTTCTGGTTAAAATTCATGGTTGCTACCCTTGATTTTGGCTTCCTGTTTTTCTTTGATACTGCAAGTTTTGCTTGCGGGTACTATCGAACTAAATATGACAAGACTGTTACCAGGGAACACAGAAGTTTGTGAAATCAAATCTGTATATCGAAGCTGTAAAAGGTACTCCCTCCATTCTAAATTATAAGATGTTTTGGCTCTATGAATCTAGAAAAGCCAAAACGTCTTATAATTTGGAATGGATGGAGTATAACATTATTTTGAGAGCTCTCACAGGCCAAGTATACTCACACACTCACACCACAATACTTAACTAGATTCTTGTAAGGTGATTATGCTCCTTTTTGTATCTGAGGCACCAAGATCACACTACACTCTCGAGCATGTAATTGACCACTCAGTTATGACAAACCAGCAGGTAGTAGGGATGTTCTTGCCATCCAAACTCATGTTTGATTGAATTTGGGTTTGTCTGCAATCTATCACTTTGAATGCTGAGTAGATGCCTGAAGAAATCCATCACGGATCTGACTGGCAGTATCTGCAACAGCACCAGGACCATGTGGGAGGAAAACTGCAGAAGATTTCGATGCTGCACCAATTTCTTTCATGGTGTCAAAATACTGAGTGAGCAGACATCCTTAGCTGAAGTCCCAGGCACGTTGCCACTAAAGCCAAGTACACTATCTCTTAGCCCATCAACTATGGCTTGTCGCTGCCGTGCAATGCCTAGATCATTGAGATACTTGGCTTCAGCCTCACTCTCAGCCCAATAATTTTCTCTGCCTCCACCTTCTCATTTGCTGCAACACGCAGTCTTGCAGCTGAACAAAAGGAAAAATTGGTTAGTGGTAAACATCAAACTGCAGTATATTATTGTGATATCAATGTGTGATTAATTTATCGCTCGTTACGACCAGTATGAAGATTTTCGATGGATGATCAATTGCTATAATTCCTCAAGTTCTAGCAGCTCTTCATGTTGAATTGTACTTCCTTTGTTTCAAAATATAAACTGCGGTTTGACTTGGCACAATCTCCAAATTTTCACATTGACCACTGATTTCTCTGAGCATAATGTCTATTGCAACAAAATTATGATCATTTGGATGTACATTCAAATACCAATCCAATGATGCCATTGTTTATCATAGTATTTAAATACTGTTAGAGGAATAGTTGGTCAAATATGACAAGGTTTGAATATTGGAACGGTTGCATGCCTTATAAAAAGAAACTGAGAGAATACAACGTGTGAATGGAAATTTTCTTGAGTTATATGCAAATTGTATATGAGTTCATACATCATAGCCCATAAGCAATATTCACCAATGTAGATGGACATTTACCAGCATTGATTTCATTCATAGCTCTTTTAACCTTTTCATCTGGTTCGATATCAACAATGAGTGTTTGCACAATCTCATAACCATAAGTAAACATTGCCTTTTCAAGCTGCTCCTCCACAGCCTTTGCTATTTCATTCTTTTGCTCAAAAGTATCATCCAGTTCTAGTTTGGGAACAGTTGCCCTTATAACTGTGAAGAAAAAGAGCATGTAAGATTCAATAGGATATGCCACCTTATTATACCATGGAAGGTATGTGGATATTTAAGTACATATTTTGTATATGCCCTTATCAAAAACCTCCTCTTTAGCACTGTCAAAACTAATTATTATCTGGACTCTTAAAACCTTCAGAAATGACTACTAACTCCCCCTGTTCCCTGTTTCAGAATTCAGAATAGCTGCCCGATTTTAAGGATTCTGGATTTCTGGTTCCCAAAAAAAATTCATAGTGGAATAAAAGAGTTCACTTATTAGAGCTTTTCTGCCTACAAATACTTTGAAAGATGTTAAGTGGTTGAAATGAGATACTCCCTCTGGTCACTTTGTTTTGGACATTGACACAATCTTCAATACATAATTTAGACTAGTCCTTTTTGCTGTGTACATTTTATAAATCATAATAAAAATATACCTTTTTGAAAGTATTTTTCAAGAGGAATAGTAATTTGTAATCAGAGGTTCAGTGGTTTACTGCATGCAACCCAAAACATCACTTCTTTGTGACTAATGGGAGTATTTCATGTGGGTAAATGGTCCAACTCTGTTGATTTACTACTTTTATTTTGTACCTCTACGCATGGGGTAGTTTGGACAACCATTCGAAACGGTAAGAATTTAGAATAAGTAGGTTTTACCATCAAAGACGTATGATTGAATTTGAGCTTTTGGGTTGCTCGGCTTATAAATATGCATCACTTGCTTTGTCTTCCATCACCCGGTGTTGAATGGATGCAACAATAGTAACGAAAACATTATCCTGCGACAGGATGCATAAATAAATAAGAGTTCAAAAACATCATTAGATAAGCTCAGCAAAAAATCTGAAGAATCCTGCCTGCATACAGGCGGTAGCAAATACTACCTATAAATCTTGCATGTGCAAGTCAGAAGTGAGATATCAATACCTTTGTCTTTGTCTCACAACGGACATCAAGCTGCCTAAGCCTCAGCGTGAGCTGACCTTCGACGCGGTTTCCAATGATCCACGGCACAAAATGGCATCCAGGATCGAGTACATCCTCAAACTTCCCAAATCTCTCTTTGATGCCTACTGTTGACTGGCCCACCTGTACAAAGCATAAGAACTTGCCGATTGCTGCGACTAGTTTCCCCATTCCAAGGCCTTGAAGGAGTGAGGATATGAATCAATCTCATCAATTGCTTTATTATTTATAGAACTTAATACTGCCAATCACTATCTTTTTCAGTTATTAATTTTGTGTGCACTGTACAACCAAACTGAGTGTACCACAAGAGTTAAACCTAGGGCCAAGGCGTTTAGCAACACATTTTTCTGAAATGTTGAACTCCGCGTGGGCGGCTTCCTCCTCCATCAACGCCGCGGGTGCGGCCACGACGAACCTGTTGCCCGCATCGTCCATGGACGACGACAATGAAAGGTCCACCGTCCACGAACGCGGTGGCGGCGGAGGCGTTGGAGGGTGGCTGTTGTTCCGGGCGGTGTCTTTGTTGTCGGCATCGTCGTGAGGCTGGTGCGCAGGCAGCGCAGCACGGTCGTGCCAGCCACAAGGTTCACGCCAAGGAAGAGCCTGTGTATCAATATATTCGCGGCATGTGTATCGATCATAGCTGTGTACTACCGTACTACTAGCACGTATATACTCCTAACCTGGTGTAGCAGGTTCTGCAGTAATCGTGGATGGCTACAGCGCGGGGCTACTGCTGCCATCTGCAGCGAGAGCAGTGGTGTGCACGGTGACGGTGACTCGGCGAGCCGCGGCAGAGAGACTACTGTTCACTGATTTGTCATTTGTCGTGAGAGAAGAACACCGTTCGTGTGCTCGTAAGACCAGCGCCGTAAGCGGCCGTGGACGGCGCTAGGCACGGGCGGGCTCAAGCTTCAACTCCGACCAGTTCGACGAGTCGGACTCAAAGAAAAAAAAATAGCGGACTATAGCAAGTTGAATAGGCTTGCCGCTAAGCTATTCGTATTTTTGCCGCTTTGACAACTTTTGCCGCTATTACGCGCTATAGTTCCTCTAAGCTGCATGGCTTAGCGTTTTAAATAGCAGCGCTATTCCAACAGGGCCACATGAGTGAAATTCTAGCAGTCTGCTAAGCCTACTAAAGCCCAAAATCAATGAAACCCTAAATCCTAAATATCACGGATAGCACCGGTGAGCTGGCAGCCCAATTAAGCTTCTATGAACCATGTTGTAATCTCATATTGGTATTTAGTAGTGTTACGTAGACTTATAGAAACATATTTGTGTTCATCAAAATTCGTATTTGTCATGTTTTTTTTTCATCAATCACGGGTGTTTTTCATATATTTTCTATAAAAACGCTATCTGTCATACATCGCTGCTGAAAAAAAAAAGTTGTCGCTATTTTCAGTGGCCCTATTTTAAACTTTGGTCGGACTGCAGCGAGAGGAATCAGATGATGCGCTTCTTCAACTGGTTCTTCTTCTCGCTCGGCTCGCTGCTGGCCGTCACCGTGCTCCTCTATACGTCCAGGACAACGACAAACTGGGCCGCCGCTGGGGCTACGGCGCCTGCACCGCCGCCATCGCCACCGGCCTCGTCGTCTTCCTCGCCGGAACCCGCAGGGCCGCAGCTACCGCTTCAAGAAGCTGGTGGGGAGCCCGCTCACGCAGAACGCTGCCGCCGTCGTGCTACATGGCGCCCGCTGTCCCACCGACCCCGCCATGCTCTACGACATCGAC